CATATCAAAGTTATAAAATAATAAATTAGTTAACAAAAATAAATCCTTTCTTTTTTTGCACAGAAAGATATGAACCCTCTATTGACCACCATTGTCAAAAAAGGATTGCTTCAACACATTTCAGTGTTCAGTCCTATTTTTAAAGAATGCCAAATAAATCCTCCGATCGGTAGCATTAAAACAGTTAAACAGTACTAAATTTACCAAATATGGTCATGGGAAAATAAAAGTAGGAAAAAAAAAAGAGAACAGAAAAAGATTGAAAATTATACGATAACTTTTTTAAACCTCCTTCTACCACTGTCGACAATTTAGCAATGACTTTTGCAATTAAACTCGGGCGGGTCAGAGCAATTTGTTTAACTGCTGACAACTGACCAAATATATAACTAATTTTTCGGTCATCTTTGTACAAGGTTTTTGGTGAATAAAAATATCAGAAAAAGTGACTGTAATGACGTCTTTTTAAAACAATAACAAAATTTTCTCTTTCTTTTTTCTTCTTAGATCTGTTCATCTTAGATTAGATGTATCAACTGTGTGCTTTCTATTCAACTGAACACTGAAAAGAATACTCAAAAAAAAAAGACAAGAAAACACAACAAAAACAACTGCAACTGAATTTAAAGAAAAAAGTTATCTGTTGTTCCACCATATTTAACAATGTTTTAGGCTGTCAAATCACTTGAAACATAAGAGCTAAAAAAAAGTACCATCCACATTTAGATGAAACTATAATTTAGTGCTATGAATCAATAGATCAAAAGACTAAGCAGAAGAAAAACAAAAAGAACACATACAAAAACTATTCCATTTAACGGTTTCAGCTGATTGTGTTGCTTTTTTTCATCGTTCAGCTTTCTTATTCTGTGTCATTTCACTTCGTTCATCTCATTTTTTCAATTTTCTTTTCTTCCTTTCAACCCTTTTTTTTTTATCCTCCTTTTTTTTTTTCCACATCTGCAATTTAAACTCTTCCATTATGTTTAAATATTAACTGAAAGAAGAAGAAGAAAAACAACAACAACGAAACTGCATAAGCAACCGAAGAATAAACTTAATAAAATGGTTTGTCCATATAAAAAGCACTTAATTATAAACCTAAACACAGTTTTTCATTTCAACTAAATGTCCATTCAACATCAGTACATCAATTTCATCGCTTTTTTTTCTTTCTTTCCTTCCAACAATTTTTTCTTGTAATTTTTTATGGTTTGCATGAATGCTTCATAAAAGGCAGGAAACAGTTCTGCTTTTTATTCAGCAGCAAAAAAAACAAAAGAAAAAAAAAATCCCAAATTTCAAATATAAGCATCAAAATAATTGAAAAGCTCAATTGCTAATTATTGTCTTGTCTTGCCTTTTTACCTCCCCTATCCTTTCCCCTACCTTCCTCTATCCTAAAAACTAACTAAAATGTAGACAATTTTTTTTTTTTTTTTTTTTCAGTTTTCCAATTTGCATACTGCACTAATCAGATAATTTCCTGAGCTGTTTTTCCCTTTCTTTTTTCTCAGTAAACACAAAAAAAAACGAATAAAACAAAAACATTTCCCGTAATTTGCGTAATTATCGGATTATAACGATCATCAGACAATTAATATATCATAAAAACCAATCAAATATACCGCAAAAATATCTATTACATTTCCGTCAGACAAAATATTACACTATCAATTTTTGCAATAAAGTATAATCATTAACCTTGATTATACTGTACATTCATAAAAACTTCGATAAAAAAGTTCATCATTTTTCACCATTTTTAACTTCCATCATAGTAATATATGCAGAAAACTTGTTCAACAGTACAGTTTGTAGTCAATCAACTCAGGGTCAAACTGCAAACCCTAAACACAACAGCAGCAACTAACCAAAGTATGAAGGGCTTTTTATAGAGAAAAATTACTAAGATCAAAAAAAAAAAGCAAAAAATTCCTTTGTGGAATACAAAACAGTCTAAGACGATCATCAGTTGACCTCAAAAATCTAATTTTTAATAGGCGTGGAAAAGTGACGATCATATGAGTTTATGGAACATCAGCCATCATCATCAGTCTATGGAACATCAAACCGCATTCAAAATCTATAAATATATACCCACACACACACACAGATATAAACGAATATATTCAAATTGCAAAACCATTTATACTCAAAGATATATATATA